TATATATATATATATATATATAAAAGAAAGAAAAACCATAGTTAATGATTGTTACAGGCAAGGCCCACCAAGAGATACTAAATTTAATGGGTAAAAACTTAAGGAGAAACAGGATATGTGCATAATCTCAAAGTTTCTCAACCAAAATATTTATTTATCACCAAAAGAAAAGTAATAACTTTACAGTGGAGAAATGTGGCAGATATCACCAGGAATAAGATACCGACATGGTGTACCTGTCACATAATACACTGAGAGGGTACATGACTTCTCTGGTATTTTCCCCAGTGTTGTGTAGCCTCAGTCTAATCATGAGAAAAATCAAACAAATTCAGTTTCAAAATAACTGACCAGTACTCTCGAAAATATCAAAGTCATGAAAGACAAGGAAAGACAGGAATTAAAGGGTACTGATACAGGAAAAAAAGATATTAGTAAAAAAACTAGTGAGATCAGAATAAAGTCTCTAGTTTATGTTATTATTCCAATGTTAATTTCTTAGTTTTGAAAATTGTACTGTGGTTATATAAGATGTTAATATTAGGGGAATCTAGGAGAGGCTTGTATATCTCTGCCAAATACCTCTAGAAAGAAAGTTTTTAAAGTTTGCTATGACAAATATAAACTTTTTGTCTTTTAAATTTTATTTTGTTCTATTTATTGTATCTTTTGTTCATTTTGAACTGTAAAGTTTTCACATTGTTCTTTAATTATAGAGCCCAGATCTATAACACTTCAAGTTAAACTTTGATCTTTGTATATACAATATGTTTTGATCAAGAGTGTTATTTTGATTCAGCTATATCTTTGTAGAAACTCCAAAGGTATAGATATAACTCATTGATATTGATTTAGTCACATTTTCTCATAGAAGTTTAGGTTTTGACTTCGTCCTTTTGAGAGCTAATGTGCATTTATGTATTTATAAGGAAATCTTTTTCTTTGCCATTTCTTGTCAGCCTTCTAATATGGATAGAGCCAAGCCTACTTACACCTTCCTACAGAAGCAAAGTAGCGGTTGCTACTCACTTTCTATTACATCTAATCCAGATGAAGAATGGCGAGAAGTCAGGCACACGGGACCTGTTCAGAAGTATGTACTATCATAGGCTGTTTGTGATAGGTAGACACATTAGTAGTTTTCAGTCATGTTGCTGATTTTAAGTGGTTTGACTTTTTCTTTTTAATTGAGGTATAGTTGACATACAATATTATATTAGTTTCAGGTGTATACCATAATGGTTTGACAATAGTTTGCCTTTGTAAATGTTTTGAGTTTTATTCTTAAAAAAAAAAATTTTTTTTACATTTATTTATTTTTTGAGAGACATAGAGAGAGCACAAGTTGGGGAGGGGCAGAGAGAGAAGGAGACACAGAATCTGAAGCAGGCTCCAGGCTCGGAGCTGTCAGCACAGAGCCTGATGCGGCGCTTGAACCCATAAACCTGAGATCATGACCTGAGCCTAAGTCGGACACCCAACTGACTGAGCCACTCAGGCACCCCAGTGTTTTGAGTTTTATTCTTACACTGATGGTTAGTGATAGAAATAACAATTTTTTATTTTAGACAAAGTTAAAAACATTTATTAAGAAAACAGTCAGTGCCATTCCATTATTTTTAGTAAAGTATGCCTCAATTTAAGATACTTTGGAGTTTATCAGAACTTTCTTTTCTGAAGTTGCTATGTTACTCATATTTCCTCTTTTATATGTCTTCTTAGGGTGGTCAGGCAGAATAGGGATTCTGTGCAGTTAAGGGTGACTTCTCTTCTTCTGTGTGATTCCTTTTTTCTGTTAAAAAAAAAACAAGTTGGGGCGCCTGGGTGGCGCAGTCGGTTGGGCGTCCGACTTCAGCCAGGTCACGATCTCGCGGTCCGTGAGTTCGAGCCCCGCGTCAGGCTCTGGGCTGATGGCTCAGAGCCTGGAGCCTGTTTCCGATTCTGTGTCTCCCTCTCTCTCTGCCCCTCCCCCGTTCATGCTCTGTCTCTCTCTCTCCCAAAAATAAATAAACGTTGAAAAAAAAAATTAAAAAAAAAAAACAAGTGAAAGAATAGGATAGAAAATAGCCAATAAAATACTAACTATCATATTAGCATTTAAAGTTTTCACATATTCTTATTTGATTTAAGTGCTTTGGTTGCCTAGATTAAATCAGTTGCAGTTGAGTCCATCTTCTTGAATCTTTCTAGTTCAAGAAGTATAGTTATACCTTTATTTTTTACTACATTTGTGCAGTGAGGACCATCCTGTCTATTCCAAGATTATAGTTGGAAACTCACAACTGCTCTTCTGAGTTTTAAGAAAAGGTGCCAGAAGAAAGATGCCTAATTAGTTGTCATCTGTTTCCTACTTCTTTCTGGTTGTGTTATAATTACTTGTTTCCTATATTCTGTTAAGTTTTACATTATAAGCACTTTATTATAAGGAAACTTGCTTCTCTGCTCCCTTGTTATTTCTGTATTGTTCGGCTGTTGGTGTAGACTAGCCACAAGTAGAAGAACATAGTTTTTGACTGCTTGCTCTTTTGAATGGAAAGGAACTTGTCTTGGGGATTCAAACTTAGAGTTGGAAGGTAGAGCACAGGAAAATCTTTCATGGTTTATTACATCAGTGTGTTGAAAGTTAAAAATTGTGCAGAAGAGAGACATCTTAGATGGCATTATAACTGAGACATAACGTATTGGTTAGACAAATATGAGACTAGGTCACATGGGAAGGACTGGAAATGAAAAGATAATGGAAGTACTATTACTAGCTTCTGAAAATAAAGGAAAATATAATTGCTTGTATCCTGTCAATTATTTTTACTCTGTACATTATAGTTATTGAATACACTGCCCTAGTATTGTTCCATATAACAAATCTCTTTGATACTAGAATTTTCACTACCAATGTGTTTTAACTTTAGTTTTACTTTTTTAAGGTTGATTGTATATCCTCCACCACCTACTAAAGGGGGATTAGGAGTAACTAATGAAGATCTGGAATGCTTAGAAGAAGGAGAGTTTCTTAATGATGTAATCATTGATTTCTATCTTAAGTAAGTACAGTGATGAATGATCTCATTTGTTTTATCAGTTTTGATGTGAACTTTAAACTGCATGTCTATCACTGAAGTATTTTAACTCTAGCTAAAAGTAACCTGCCAACAATTCAGATTTTAGAAATTTTTGCCGGGGCGCCAGGGTGGCTCAGTTGGTTAGGTGTTCGACTCTTGACTTCAGCTCAGGTCATGATCTCACAGTGGTGGGATTGAGCCCTGTGTTGGGCTCTGCGCCAACAGGGTGGAACCTGCCTGGGATTCTCTCTCTCTCAAAATAAATACATGTTGAAAAAATTGTTTTGTTTGCCTACCGAGGTTTTCTACAGTTGACTACTTCAGTTATATACTCCAGAAGAGTTGCTATTTTTTGTTTGTTTTAGTTTTTATTTATTTTTTTTATTTATACTTCTTAACTGTTGTATTACTGTGGTGAAGGAAGTATCTAAAAATTACAGATCACTTTGGGAAAGGAAAAGAAGCAACTCTGTAGTTATCTATTCTGTCTTCAAGTGCTGTAAGAGTTACCTGTCATTTAAAAAACCCATATCACTATGCCATTAAAAAATAATTTTCAACTTTGCATAGCTTAGTTGAAGGAATAGATAGGAAGGTTTTATAAACTTTGATGTAAAGTTTCTAGCCTGCATCTTTCCTGAGTCCTATTGTTTACGTATACTAGCTTTATTCCAGTCACTCAGGCTCTGAATCTCTATCACTAGCCCTTCATCTCAGATACTGTACATTTGACCTCTAGAAGTTTGATCTGGGTCTTTTTTAATATCTTATACCTAGGGCCTCCATGAATTAGGGGGTTTTCCAGCCTGTCTGGTAAGAACAGGCACTATTCTTGTCACTGGCTCATTCCCTCTCATCTTTTCAAGTAGTTCTCACCCCAGCATTTTCCTCACACACATGCAATGGTCATTCTTCTAAATACTTGAGGAGGACGCTGCAGATGTCTGGAGTTCTGTTTATCTACGACTCTTCCCTTTTTAGTATTCTGATCTGTAAATTCTAGCTGTCTTGGTCTCTCCTGACTTTCAGCATCTCAATGTGGAGTCTGCCACCTGGGTTACTCCTTCCTGTGCTGCCACCTGTAAACTACCAAAACAGTAAACTGGGGCATGAGTGGAGCTCACCTTATTTCTCATTTCTCAAAGACCACTCTTCTTTGTTGCCTGATGTCTAGTGTTTTGAAGACTATTGATTCACATGTATTTTGTGTGATTTTTCGCTTCTTTCATCCAGGTGGGTAAATCTGGTCCCTGTTGTTCTGTCTTGGCTGGAAGCAGAAGTCTTCATCATCATTGACTCTTCACCCTTCCTTCCCTATCTGCATACTCAGTTGCCAATTTTAGTAGATTCTGTCTCTCAAATTCATTTATTCTTTTTCTTCTGTCATTATGATTTCCTAGTACTTCTTACCTGAATTGTTATTCTGTCTTTTTAACTAGTGTCCTTGTATTTTTTATCTCTGTTTTCCTGTGCATTAGGTATATTATGACCACCAGTATTCTTCTTAAACCACTCTATGAATGCAGTTCCCATTAGAAACTTATAGTAATTTCTTATTACCTGTCAAAATGAGTTCAGACCATCTGGCTTTTGAGAGTCTTGATAATATGACACTAATCTATCTCTTTAGCCTTTTACACGTATTTCATAGTCCAGCAAAATTGAATTATAAAGTTTACTAAACAAAGCCTATTCTTAGTCACTCTTCTGCCTTAATGCCCTGCTCTCTTGTTTCTTGGAAGACTTTCCTCTTTATCTCAACCTGTTGAAGTTTTATTCCTCTTTCATGGTTCCTCTCAAATGGTACCTTCCTCAAAACTTTTCCTGATCTTCTAAACAGATATTATTAATTCCCATAATACTCCATTTGCATCTTTTTTATGTTACTTATAATATTTTTCTTTATTTTTTTAATGTTTATTTAATTTTTTTTTTAGAGAGAGGCAGAGCATGAGCAGGGGAGGGGCAGAAACAGAATCCAAAGCAGGCTCCAAGCTCTGAGCTGTCAGCATAGAGCCGGATGTGGGGCTCAAACCCATGAACTGCAGGATCATGACCTGAGCCGAAGTTGGACACTTAAATGATTGAGTCACCCAGGCACCCCTTATTTTGCATTATTTTAAAGTTAGTTGGTGATTTTTATTTTTTTTTAAATTTTAATGTTTATTTCTGAGACAGAGAGAGACAGAGCATGAGTGGGGGAGGGGCAGAGAGAGAGGGAGACACAGAATCTGAAGCAGGCTCTGAGCTGTCAGCACAGAACCCGATGTGGGGCTAGATGAACGGTGACATCATGATGTGGCCTGAAGTTAGAGGCTTAACCAAGTGAGCCACCCAGGCACCTCCATTTTATTTATTTTTGTATCCGTATAATAGTGCCAAATTTATATTTGGTGAGATGAACTGGATCATATTGTTAGTCTTTATATGTTTTATTAGAATTAACAAATACAATTTTATTCCTAATTTATTTCCAGTAGTACTTTTCTATATTTCCTATTCACTAAATTACCTGTTTCTCTGTCTCATTGACGTATTTTCAGAGAGGATTCTAACTTTAGTGTTGTTTTTTTTTTTTAATAATTTTTTAATGTTTTTATTTATTTTTGGGAGAGAGAATGCAAGTAAGGGAAGGGCAGAGAGAGAGAGAGAGAGAGAGGGAGGCACAGAATCAGAAGCAGGCTCCAGGCTCTGAGCTGTCAGCACAGAGCCCAATGTGGGGCTTGAACTCAGGAACCGTGAGAAGATGACCTGAGCCAAAGTTGGATGGTTAATCGACTGAACCACCCAGGCGCCCCCTAACTTTAGGTTTTAAATGACTTTCTATTTATTTTTTAAATTAAGGTGTAACTTTCAAGTAGTAAAGTACATAAATCTTAAGTGTGCAGCTAGTGAATGTTCACAAATGTATGCACCCATAATATCATCATTTAGATCAAGGTAAAGAACATTTCCAGCACACCAGAAGCATCCTTTGTGTCTCCTTCCATGTAGCAAAGCCTGTCCATAACCACATTTAAAAAAATGTCAAGTTGTATTTGTCTTCTATGCTTTTTTTCTTAAAGCAATTACAAGGTCATTTTTGAATCTGCAGAGATTCAAAAGCAGAGTTAAGAATAGCAGAGTTCGGGGCGCCTGGGTGGCGCAGTCGGTTAAGCGTCCGACTTCAGCCAGGTCACGATCTCGCGGTCCGTGAGTTCGAGCCCCACGTCGGGCTCTGGGCTGATGGCTCAGAGCCTGGAGCCTGTTTCCGATTCTGTGTCTCCCTCTCTCTCTGCCCCTCGCCCATTCATGCTCTGTCTCTCTCTGTCCCAAAAATAAATAAACGGTGAAAAAAAAAAAATTAAGAATAGCAGAGTTCACTAATGTGAAGAGTTTAATCACTAAATGATTCAATTACAAGCTTATGTTGAAGAATTGTTTTAGTAGAAATAGACTCAGGATTTATATATTGGACATATCTCACAGTAATTAAAATTTTTCTAGATTTATTTTAGGAGTGTCAGGGTTTCAATCTTATCTCTGTGTGGTATTTGATTAATATTTCCTTCTATACTCAGTCCTCTGGATTGTAAGCTATATGGCAGCATGTACTACCCCCCCTTTCCCCATTTTATGTCTCTAATATAATTATGGTGCTCTGCACATGTTAGGAATTTGATAAGTAATTGTTAAGTAAATGAGTTAATAAGTGGGCAATTTCTGCTTTAAACAATCTTGATGGAAGGTGAGGTAGATAAAGAACAATTTTAGCTGGAATCTGAGCAGATTGCAAGATTGCTTTGAATCTAAGTGGTCATAAAAATGAAGATTTACAGAACACATAAGATAATTGGGGGAAGATTAGGTAAAATCTAAAAATAACTTCTGTGGTTTTGCTATTTTACAGATATCTTATATTGGAGAAGGCATCAGATGAACTTGTTGAACGAAGTCACATTTTTAGTAGCTTTTTCTATAAATGCTTGACAAGAAAAGAAAATAATTTGACTGAAGATAATCCAAATCTTTCGTAAGTCAGTCTTTCAATGTACTTTAGTTTTAAGAGAAAAATATGCTGTGTTGATGCTCCTAGTAAAAAAAAACTTCTTACAGTTTTTCCTAGAGTGATCAGTATTACCATTTGTGCAGGCCTTTCAGCTCTTTCTCACCCCACTGTTCTTTTCCCTATCAGAGGAGGCTGACTCTTGCAGGCTGCATTTCCAAGTGCATGTTCTGTGGGGGACACTGGAAGTTGGAGGGCAAGGGAGGAAAAAGTCAGGTTATTTCTTTCTTAACCTCTTTGCATTGGGCAGTGATTTTGGCAGTGGCTCTATTTCCTCTATGGGTCCCATCTTATTTATTTATTTTTTAAGTTTATTTATTGAGAGAGAGAGAGAGAGCGAGCGAACAAGCATGTGCACATGTGAGGGGAGGGGCAGAGAGAGAATCCCAAGCAGGCTCCACATTGTCAGCGTGGCACTCAACACAGGGCTCAATGCGGGGCTCAAACCCAAGAATCGTGAGATCAGAACCTGAGCCAAAATCTAGAGTTGGATGCTTAACTGACTGAGCCACCCAGGTGCCCCTATATTTAACTTATTTGATGGCTTCCTGTTCTATTTTATGTATATAGAAATTGATGGTTGGTACCATGCATTTAATCTTATGTTTTATTTTAAGATTACTGGTCATTATTTGGCATAGCCACCTAGAAACTGATGAAATGAAAGCAAGTGGATTCTGCTGTGGTTTTAAATTTTAAAGTAATTTTTTAAAATTAGAAGTTACATGTTTGATCATATATAAAAGTAATATAAAACAGTGTTACATAAGTGGCATATTCCAGGGTAAGACATATATAAGGTACTAAGATACTATACTTCATATCTTATATACACACACATACACACAGTTGACCCTTGAACAACATGGATTTCAACCATGGGAGTCCATTTATATGCAGATTTTTTGGGATAAATACAGTGTACATGTATATACTGTAAATACTGCAAATGTATTTTCTCTTCCTTATGATTCTCTCAACATTTTCTTTTCTTTAGCTTACTGTATTATAAAAATATATAATACATATACCACAAAATGTGTGTTAATTGGCTTTATGTTATCAGTAAAGCTTCTGGTCAACAGTAGGCTGTTAGTAGTAGTTAAGGTTTGGGGATCCAAAAATTATATAGGTGGATTTTTAACTCCATGGCGGGGCTCAGTTCCCCTATCCCCTCACAGGTAAATACTTAGGTTAATGCTTGGCCTGATATATATGTAATTAGTTATCACACAAAGAATTTCTACAAATCAGTAAAAAAATAAGAAGATAGCCACAAAGCAGAGTGGTAAGGGGTATAAACCTTAATGGTAAATAAATCTCTGACAAGACACTCCAACTACTAGTGTAAGGGAATTGCAGACTAAATGATGCACAAACTCATTACTATGGATTATGAGATGCTGAGAGATCTGGCTTCTGCCCGTCTCCCTACTCTCACCTCATGACATTCTTTCTCCTCACTTACCCTCCTTCAGCTCAGCCTTCCTCCTTTCAGTTTTCAAATATGCTAAGCTCTTTTCCTATTTTCTGACTGAAATTTCTTCTCCTGGCACTTTTTTTGTATTATAACATGGTTTGTGATCATTGGTTTGTTTGCTTGTCCTAAGGTCATGAGGTCATGGACTTTATCTGTCTTATTTTCTACTCTGTCCCAGTGCCTTTTGCTCAGTGCTTGTAACATACTAGGAGCTCGAAAGAGAATAATAATATATTTTATTGAATGGGAGAGAACTCTTAGACATATAATTAAAGATCTTCCAAAGAGTTAGGAACTGAGAATAAGAGATTATATTGTGTTTCCCATAACCTCTCCCATTCTCCTTGTTCCATCTAGTGTCTAATATATCAATCAAATAAGTCCAGTATGATCAGGAAATCAAACACCAACATAACAAAACAAAAGAAAACCGGGTGTCTATCTTTAAGATTTTCAAACGGAAAAGCAAATTAATAGGCTATGCACTATTTGAAAATAATTGTTCATTATCATTATAATGATTGGGTCATTCTGAAACAAAATTCAGTAAACATGTGACTTCTGATCATTTTATGAAGTTAAAGTCTACATAGTGTCTAATTCCTACCACCTTTTATTAGCTCATTCTAAATTCCATCTTCTCCTAATGTTACTCCTGTGAGTATGGTTAAATATTCAGATGAACAGGGATGGGACAAAGATTTCTTTTCCTATATTACTTGGTATATAAATATAAAACAACTTATTTAATTCCTTGCATAAAAAGGAGGTTCTTGGGGGCGCCAAGGTAGCTCAGTTGGTTAAGCCTCTGACTTTGGCTCAGGTCATGATGTCACAGTTCATGGGTTTGAGCCCTGCATCAGGCTCTGTGCTGATAGCTCAGAGCCTGGAGCCTGCTTCAGATTCTGTGTCTCCCTCTCTCTCTGCCCCTCCCCCGCTCCAGCTCTGTCTCTCTTTGTCTCAAAAATACACATTAAAAAAAAAAAAAATTCTTGAAGGCCCTGAGCCAGAAGTTACACACCACCTCTTTTCTAAAACTTTTTTTTAAGCAAGACTTTGAAAGTCTTTTTTTTTTAAGTTTTACTTTTTAAATGTTTATTTTTTTTAATTTTTATTTTAGACAGAGCATGAACAGGGAGAGGGGCAGAGGGGGAGAGAGAGAATCTTAAGCAGGCTTCATGGTCAGAGCCTGACGCTGGGCTCGATCCTATGACCCTGGGATCATGACCTGCGCCAAAATCAAGAGTTGAATGGTTAACCAACTGAGCCACTCAGGCACCCCCCTTAAAACTTTTTTTTGATATTCAAACTTGGTTTAATATCTTCCTTCCTTATTTTCCTGATAAGATAAAGAAAAGAAACAATTATATGTGTGTCCTGGTTCTTTTCTAGGTGGCTTTTCTAAATGCTATAACATAATTCCTTTGTGTCCCTTATGACACTTATATTTTAGCCATGGTTTTTTTCTACCCTCTTCATTTTGTGAACTCCTTAAGGGCAGCGTGGGTGATTTTTATTATTTATTCTTAAGAACCTAATAAATCTATGTTGAAGAAGTAAATGAAAGATGGATGAATAGTGGGTATTTTCAACTCATTGTCTTATAATTTCCTTATATATAAAATGAAAGGAGATGACTGTCATCTTTAAAAAAATCTAAGAATATATGCCTCATTCCTCCTGTTAACTTTAACACCTCCCTCATCACAGGTATAACATTTAGACAATTCTTTTAAGGTTTAATGATAATATTTTTATCATGCCCAGATGGAACTAAAGTAAATAAATAGGTTTAGCTGTTTACATACAGTTACTGAGCTATTTTTGGAGTCTATAAACCATTTTATAAATTGCTCCTTCTATTCTATCTATGACATTGTTTATAAACAGTCATTAAGTTTAACAACAATTAGAAATTAATGAAAGGAAATGAGTATTATATATCTTAATATGCATTAAATATTATATATCTTGAAGAAGATGGTTAAGTAAACTGAATTTCACATTTTTCAGTGTATAAAAATGACTCCTGAAATCTGTATCTTCAATTTTTAATTTTTTATATGTAAAATACATGTATCTTTCATATTCCCAGAATGGCACAGAGGAGACATAAAAGAGTAAGAACATGGACTCGTCACATAAACATCTTTAACAAAGATTACATCTTTGTGCCTGTAAATGAGTCGTGAGTATTTCAGATTATTTAAAAACAAAATTGGAGAGTACAGAAAAAAATATTTTGTGCATTTTTAGATTAATAATCAGTAAAAGGTATGGGTATGCATCTTAAGTACTATGTTTAAATTTTCCAAAGAAGTAGCTAAAACTATGAGTGACTATATTAGATTTTGGTTTGACAAATGGTCATATTGTAAATATAGTAGAAAAAATAAAAATGACAAATGCCCATAAGACTGTAATGACTGAGACATTGAATTTTTCTTTTTTGGGCTCAAAAGAATTTCTTACTAAGTAAAAGATGAAAAGATTTTAGAATAAACCTTAAAATATTTAAGAGAACAAACTGTTTAAGCACTAACAGAAAAAAGATGATGCTATGAGTTTATTTATTAAAGAAGTTCTTCAATAGGAAGCACTGATTATATGAAAGTAAATAAATTTGAAATAATTCAGATTTTACCCTAAGTAGTCTTACTACTCATTTAATTACTTTTGGAATGTGTGGCCCGTGTTATGTCAGATATTACAGTGTAGTTAATTGGTATGAAGTTTGTTTTACCCACTTTCTCAGCTGTAGATCCAAAACACATTGCTCTGCATTGTTTAGATTTCATGTTATTAAGATTGTGTTTCTTTTTCAACAGATCTCATTGGTATCTTGCTGTCATTTGTTTTCCATGGTTAGAAGAAGCTGTATATGAAGATTTTCCACAAACTGTATCCCAGCACTCACAGGCTCAGCCATCTCAACATGACAACAAAATAATAGGTGGTAAACTTAATGTAGATACTGTTTTTAATGATGATGACAACAGTAGAATGATTATAGTGAACAATATGAGGTTAAAAGATGGTGTGTATATATATATATATATTTGAGGG